TCGAACCACATCAGACTCAGAGTTTGATTACAAATTCACACTTTAAAAACGACCCGGACTTTCTGGACAAATGGACTGGAGTTAGATTACAGCCAGCGTTGGGTAGTAACTAGTTATATTTACAATTACATTTATTGGACATGTCACCTTGGGAGCCGACATTTCACTTTTATTTTAGTGAAAATATTTTAAAGTAGAGCTATTCTTTCTTGAACGCAGAGTTGGGTATGTTTGGTGTGAATGTACTCAGATTGACTGTTCAGCTGAACGATAAAAACACTCCACACCAATGGAAAAATAAAAATGACTCACAAAAAAAAAAAAAATTACTTTTTGTTAAACAGAAATTCTGGTTCATTGCTGTTGAACTCCCACATGACTCTTATTTTTGAGAAAATCTCCCACACAACAAAAGTCCTGCTTCCACTACGCTGTGCATTCGTTGAACAAAAGCTCCACTGTGGCGAACGCCGCAACACGGAAACATGATTCCAGTCTGGATTTTCATTCCTCCTGAAAAAGAGCTCAGCAGGCGATTCAAAACAAAAAGAACACAAGTAGGTGTGTTTGCACGCATAAGTGTGTTTGCACGCGTGTGTGTGCGATCACAGCACATACTGGTGTTTTTCTCACACACACACAGATCAGGGCTACAATAGACGTGTGGATCTGATCATTTTTCAGCCCCTAGGAGTCTGTCAGTTGTAGGACTAAATGTTTTGGGAAACCACCATTTGAGAGAATAAAAAGAAGTGTGTTAGTATTATGAATGTTTTCAGTGTAACAGTCAGCTGTAGTGAGTAGCTGGTTCTCCATTAACAATGTGTGCAAAACTTTAATATTCTGCTAAAGTAAAAAAATAAAAATAAAAATTCAATTGCTTCGTCAAATTTGTTCACGAAGAAAGTCATTAAAAGTCATCCTCAAACTATTTCTTCTTCATGGTTTGTGCCAGAATCAGCATCTGGGTGTTGATCATGTGACTTGTCTGATGTGAAAAAAGTGTTTCATGGCATTTCTGCACAACTAGCCTATTTTGATATGGTCAATAAAACCGGCAAACTTTTTTAGCAAAAGAGGAGTTTGCACTTATTTGATTGAAAACATAATATTTAAGCACACTTAATGTCTAGTCTCGAATCTAGAGGACCACATAAAAAGATGTGGCGGGCTGGATTTGGCCCACCGGTCTTGAGTTTGACACCTGTGGTCAAACTGAAGGCCAAGGGTGGCATCTGGAATCAGAGTGGAGTTAATGGTGGCCTGATCAGGGATGAAATAAGAGAGCTTACCGTAGAGTGATTCATACTGAGGTGTGGAGGAAAATATGGCCAGGGTCCCGCGTGGAGAATGATTGATGACGATTCCTTAGACGAGTGTGAGGAAGGTGATGACACAGAGAGCCAGGGGTCTGATGGAGCCGGGTGGAGAAATGAGGAACAGCAGAGAAGGCAGGCAGGTAACTTGCAATAAGCTGCATTTCCATTACAATATATACAAAACATTATAGACATTTTGATAATGTAGAAAAAACACAACTTTGTGATTCCATTAGATAAGAAACTCAATTAAAATCACACGTGAATACGCTAAAAAACTAAATTGCACCATTGTCGTCTTACCACATCCTGTCGTCTTCTTTGATGTTTCTGACAGTAGCAACTAGCAACATCCTGCCGTTGATTATGTGACTCGTATCATGCAAAAAAAAGTGTTTTGATTGCACTTTTGCAGGATGAATCCATGTCAATAAATCAGCTAAACTTTTTATTGAAAATTTAGAGTTTTATTCTAATTGTATCTAATTTTTAGCTAATGAAAGTCATTAGCTTCATTAGCTGTCAGGGGGTTTGTGGCGAGCAGAGGCGCTGAGCGAAATGACCCTGACTCCAGCTGACATGGAGCCCTTCCTCACACTCACAAATGACTTGTAACAATTGTAAAACACACACACTGAGCGCTTTGTGCACACACAGCTGATCTGAAGGCATTTTGTGCGTGATGGGTCGACACACGGTCTCGCTCACAGTCTGCACTCAGCAAAATAAAAATCTCATTATGCTCATGAACCTGAAGGTATGAGAGCAGTCTCTCATCTCTACTCATGGCCCAGAATATTAAAAGGTTTCTGCTTCTCCCCGACTCCCCCACTGACTCCCCCATCCTTTCTCTCTCTGCATACATATGACTGAATCCCTGCATTTCCATTCTTGCTCGCCTTTGGGATCAAACGCACTCACAGTACCCCAGGGGCCCGGGCTGGAAATGAATTGCAATTACAGCCCTCTTTTTCTCACAGTCTTTTCTTATTATTTCATTGGTGTCTTCCCTTTTTTCTTTTCATTCTGCTTCTCGACTCCTGCTGAATCTTTTTGTTTGCTAATATATGTGACTGTGAGCGTGTGTGTTGGGGGGTTTTAGGCGGAGTGGAATGTGTGCTTTAGCTTTTTGCCTCAACAGGGACTGAATATTGACCACAACAGCATGTGGCGTAGTCAAAGGGTTCAGATTCTGTCTGGCTTTAACCTCTCATTTAATGCATCAGGTCTCAGAACTCTTCTTTTGTTTTTTCCTCTTCCTGTTTTATGTTTTGACACACCCAAACTAAATAGCTGTGCTTGCAGGTTGCAGATGTCACTTGCTGGGTGACGGATGTGCACTGAAGTTTGTGCGAATCAATAAACAGAACCTTGGATGGACATGAAAGGAAAAGAGATTCTGACGCGGCGCTATACAAACCTACCAGTGAGTAGTCATCAAATCTTTAGTTTTATTTACAGAAGGCCTCCTGTTGTCTCTAGATTGCTCAACTATTGGTGACAGTGGTTCAGTCAAAGTAAAGTTACACATGCATCAATGGCATTGTGGAGCTGACTTCAGGACATGTGGATAAAACTGAACTTGATCTTAATATCTTTAAGACACAGTCCAGTCACCTGACATGGTGACTGAAATATCTGAGTATCATCTGCATATCGATACACAGTAGACAATTGATGTTATCAATCCATTCATGTCTGTTGTCGTGTGATTCTGATCTGAGATGAAGTTTCAAAAGTAATGTGTTCTGGGTCTCCCACTGGTGCAACTTGTCTGAAAAACCAATAAAAAAGGTCTGAAAATCTGTTGCTCAAATCACCTCAGCTGACCTTTTTGATGCAGCGAAGCAGCAGCTCCACCTTGAACCTCTCCAAAATGGCAGGTTTCTGATGTTAAGATTAGCCTGGCCACCCAAACAACATTCAGTTAAGCTTCCAGAATCTTCTTCCTTAGTTGCAACAATGATACCATACCGCTTTATTTATAAAGCACTTCAAATATAACACAGCAGCTACCAAAGTGCTGTATGAAAACAAAAACAAAGGACAACAATGAAATAATAAGAAAACTATTATCATGACGTGTGTTTTGATGGTGGACCAAAATGCAGAAAGGCAGAGACTTTAGTTCAATGAAAACGTTATAAACTTACCCAAAAAAATCACAGGGAGCCAGAGGAGAACAAAAATCATAAGGTCAAATCCAGCAGAAGACACATGGAGGAAACAGGGAAAATAACGGATTATAACTGGAGGAATAGAACTTGACTTAAAGAAAGAATTAAATTAGAGTAATGACGAATAACTAGAAACAAGAAATAAACTAGAATCACTTATAAAAACTGAACTAAATAGAAACAAGACTGGTCTAATAAAAGAAAGAGAATCAAGAACATAGAATAATCAACACATTTCAAAACAAAACAGGACATAAAACTATAAGAAAATAGAGATCAAAACATAACAGATACATTATGACACTAACATTAAGACAGATGCTCGCTCACTCTGAGTTTTAAAAACAGAAAGACAAGATGATGATGGAGGAGTAAATCAAAATCTTCCCCTCTTTTTCCTTGATCTTCAGCCCCAACCCGTTCTGCTCTCCGTCTCTCAAGCACCAGGCCTGTGATATTTGAACTCCCCACCAAATTACAGCTTTCGCATGTGGAAGAGCTTCAGAAACTCCTTGATCCTGGTGGGTGTAAAACTTTAGGATGAAAACCGAATCCTGCTTCTCCATGTTTGGTTCTGATTCTGGGGATGCAGAGCAGAACCAGAAGACCTGAGAGGTTCTGGAAGGTCCAGCAGATCTTTAATGTTTTGTGGCGGTGAGCCGTTCAGTGATTTATGAACTGACAACAGGATTTTAAAGTCTATTCTCCCAGTGAAGGACTGTAGACCTGGGTTGACCTTCCTGGTTTTAATCAGAACGCCAGCAGCAGCTTCTGGATCAGCTTCAGCTGATGGTGTTGTTGCAGTAATCGATGCGACTCAAGATAAACGCAAGTTTCTCTCTATCTTATTGGAACATTAGTTGTTTAATTATGGAGATTTTCTTCAGTTGATAGAAGGTCGATTTTTAACTGTCCTTATGTGGCTCTGAATGTAAAGCTAAAACTAACATTTTTCCATACTTTTTGACTAAATTGGTCACATGTAATTTATTCCAGTGGTATAGAGGGACAACAGGGACACAAGAGTTAACTTCTAAAATTCTCCACAGACTCTAAGCATCCAGAAAATGTTTGATATGCCTATACTTTCTGTCCATCAGAAGTCGGGAAGCCGCCTTCAGCAACATGCCTCTTCAGATCTAAAGATGAATTAATTAACCAGTGGATGAAGTGGTGGTGTGAGGACTCACGGTTGGGTGGGCATTGAAGGAAGTGTGTGTGCGGCTGTGTGTGTGTGTGTGTGCGGATGGAGTTTGGTGAGCTTATTGATCCTAAATAACGACCGTAAGGCTCTGTGATCTCAGTCAGATCCATCGCCCCCCGATGGCGGCTGCAGCCGTCCCCATGGAAACCAATCGCTGCGGTTACTGCGGGGCAACAATGCGTGTGTCGGTGTGTGTTGGACCGGGACATTTCTGGAGATCTCGGATCGCTCTTCTCTGGTAGCAGAGCGCTAATCGGCTGCTCTCCGGGCTTTGTTTGGTCCCAGACCTCTAAAGACCTGCTTCCTTCGACAATTTGATCAAAATAAATCTCAATGTTGGACAGAAGTTGCATTTCCATTTATCAACAGCTCTGGAAAAAAGTAAGAGACCACTTAAGAGGATCAGTTTCTCTGATTTTATAGGTTTATGTTTGAGTGAAATGAACATTGTTCTGTTATTGTATGACCTACTGACAACATGCCTCTGAAATTCTAAGCAAAAATGTCGTATTTATTTGCAGAAAAAGGGAAACGGAGAAAATAACAAAAAAGATGCAGCGCTTTCAGATCTCAAATGATACAAAGAAAACATATTCACTTAACAATACTGATGTTTCAACTCAGGAAGAGTTCAGAAATCAATATTTTGTGGAATAACCAGGAGGTTTATAATGGGCTCCGTATGATTGAGTAAATTGGAATTACAAAAACTAATAAAGCTGAAAAGCCGCCTCATTCCAGCTCAAAACCTTGAGTCTTTTTTGAAATTCGCGTTTCCAAAACACAAATTTAAGTTTCACAAAACTGCAATGAAAATACTTTTTGCATCACCTGAGTCATGTGGTCAACAACCGGGTGTTACTACTGGCAGAAACGACAAAGAAGACGACAGGAAGTGATCAGAAGATGATGACTTGACATTTTTTTAAATGATTTACCACTTCAACAAACTTATTAATGTGTGATTTTGAATCCTGTTTCTTATTTAATGAAAACAATTGGAAAATTCTGTTTACATTAGAGAAATATTGACAAAGTTTGGTGTACATTTGTCGCTTAGGACCATTATGTTACAGCCATGATGGCTCTCTTTTGGCTACAGGGATTAGAAACACTGAACCACACACACATAGTTTATGTTTAACTAATACAAAGTTGGTTTAAGGACTTTTTAAAACAATGTTTAACTCTGCAAACAGTCGGTCTAAACCGGAGGTTCTTAATCGCTCTCCTTCATGTTTTAGATGTTTGGCTGTTCCAGCGCATCTGAAACCTGATAATCACTCGTTCATTTCAGTCAGGTGAGTGAATGAAGACAGGTAAACACCTGAACATATAACACAGAGAATATCAGGTCTACTGAAGGAAAAGACAAAAAACTATCAGGAAGTGGAAGGAGGATGATCCTGCATGAACAAAGTTAAGCACACATGATTTTAATTGTTTCTCATTTAATGGAAACAACATTTGCTAAATTATGGGTTTGTTTGAAATCAGGAAAATACAGACAAAGATTGGGAGTTAAGTAATTTCTGAAAAGCTCAGTTGCTGCTTCCCCACATCAAAAGAAGCCAGTGGAGGATGTCGGTTATTTGAACGTAACCCCAGTGGGACGAAGCCTCAAAAAACACACAGAACTTTCCAGCAATATTTATTTCTCACAAACTCAGATTGACCCTAAATGAGCTTGTTCCATGTGGCTCTACGTGCGCCGGTGAATGTTTCCCCATGGGCAACATGTAATGCAGAGCAAAAGATAAGTTCCCCTTTACATTTTAATGTGTTCGAAACCAAGTAAATGAACATTAGTCACATAAATTTACTTAAGATTATTACTTATTACTTAAGGTTCCATATTAAATACTGCTTTTGTAATCTTTAACTGAACATTAAAATTATTATTTAACTATATCAGAACATTAAAATGATGAATTAAATATATCAGAGTTTCCCTGACAGCAGCTAAAGCCTGGGAATGCTAAAGCTGTTGTCTTCAAACTCAGGTAAAATGGTAAATGTGTGGATGTTAATGAGAACACACTTAATTCAGGATTTCATTCTACCAACAAACACGGACTGCTTTAAAAGTTCTGTATGAGAAAAAGCCCAAACTGCAGGAAAGACTTGCAGATTTTCTGTGAGACAGCGGAGGGTAGAGGTGAAGACCGCAGAGCATCGTGGACCATCCACGGACAGCCCTGGGCACACAACAAAACTAAACTACGCTTCAGGGTCAAACAGGGAAAGATTTTTAAATCTAATGTAAAAAGTGGAGTGGGTGTTTGCCTGTGGAAAACAAACCGAGAGCCGGTTCCACGGGGAAACAGCCGGATCGCTGAAGGCATCTCCTTCCACTTTCAAAACACCCAGGAAGAACAAATAAGTCTTTCTGGGCAGGGATATGAATGCAGCACTGCACTGCAAAAACACTAAATATGAGCATGTTGTCTTTAGTCTAATATCTGAATACACCTGAAATAAGACAAAACTAACTAAAGAAAACATTTTCAGCAAGAGATAGGAGCTTGTTTTGAGTAAATAATTCCTTAATATTCATTCAACAAATACTACTTCCACTGGCAGATTATTTCTCTTATAACTTCGGAAATTTGCTTTTTTTGAACCTTTATTTATATTTGTTTTAAGAAAAACAGTTTAGCATCAAAGCTTTCACAGTCATGACACAAGTATTAGACAAATTACTTCTCAGTCCAACGCTCCAAAGAATGGCTGAAAACAGCATCACAGAGGAGCTGGAGCTTCTTAAAGAGACAGAGGAAAATTTATTTGGTTAGCAAGTTATTTTTGATGTAGCATAGTCATAATGACTAAAGCTAACATGATTGTGATATAAAAATACATAGTACACAATGCCCTTCTATAAAACTCATCATACAGTTACAAATGTTCAAAAATGTTTGGAACGTATTTCAATGACTGTAATGGCTCATTTAAGTGGATTAAAAGTTATCAAAAACTTTTTTCTACATCCTCTAGAAACATCTAAGGTTTGTCTTCCAACTTCAGTCTTCCCTGCGAGTTTAATGTTGTGCTTCTCTGTTTCACACTAGCCCACTCAAAGTGGAGAAATCACTTTTTGTTTTGATTTATGCATTCTACCTGAAATATGTTTTGCAGTAAAGATGCCACACATTCCCACCCACATGCAGACTGTAACATAACTCTTCAAGAGCTTCCACAAACTTGCTGAATGACGTTCTACTTTCTGCCTGTCTCCGTCTCTCCTTGTGTTCTTTCTCTTTTAAATCTGTTTTTGTCTTTTCCTTTGCTCAAAAGCCAAAGTCACACTGGTGTTTCGCAGAGAGGATGTAGAGTTCAAAGAGAGACTCCAGTTACTGCACACAAATAAACTCACTAAATCTTTTACAGCCTCATATGGACGCGACTAAATGCTTCAATGTGTCCAAACGTGTTTCTGTTAATGTTTTGCTATGACTATACATCAGATTGCAATCCATGCAAGTCTGCTTCTCCACCAGGCTATGCTCTTTGTAGCGGCTTTCATTTGTGCATTAGTGAGCATTAGCGTGCGTGAGCGTGTTTATTCAGGACTTAATGCCTTTGTGAACCGAAATAAGGGCTTTACTGTATGTGCCTGTCGAAATTCCATCGAAAATCAGTGTTTGTGCTTTAAGCCAACCCAATTAGCTTCCTGTAATGTACTTTTAGGCGTTTAGGCTTGTTGGAGTGGAATTTTTTTAAAATATTTTCTTTTTATGAAATGCTTAAAAAATCTGACAAAGTCCAAACGAACTGGCTTGTTTTTCTTGACTTAATGTAAAGCTGAATAACTTCTCTTTTACCATTTAATGTCAGATCATCTCTGACAAAGACAGAAGTAAATTATCATAAAGTATCAGATATCGCTGACGAGAGTCAAATAGAAGAAACTTTAAGACTTTATCACATACAATGCGTTTCATTGATATAAATATTATTTATTTAAACTAAATTAATAAAAACAAACTACATATGTTACATATGTAAAAATAAGAATACAAAAACATTATAATGAATCATTTTAGCTGCAGAGTGCTACTTTCAGGCTAAGAAAGAAAAATCTAATTAATAGATTAAAGTTGCAGTAAACATCATTATATGTTAATATATCAAATATTATCAATATCATCCAACATTCCTCATTTTACCAAGTATGAAACTAATTTTTCATATCAGATATTGTCATTTTCAACTTTATTCTTATGATATTATAACCTTGTCCTGGTAATACGGACTTTCTTCTCATAACATTATGACTTTGTCATATTATGGGAACTTTATCCCTGTACAACTATATTCTTTAAGTATTATGACTTTAGTCTCTTAATTTTATGACTGTTTTGACCGTAACCCACCGCCTCACCCAGAGCTGCGATTCTTCATTCAGTGGAAGAAACTTCTAGAGAAATGCAGCAGAAACACTGAGTTCCTTTAAATCAATTAGAACCATAATAAGTGAAACATTGACCAACATTTTGATGCAAAATGTGATGTTTTAATTTTTTATTTTAGTGTTTTTATGATGGAAAACACTTTGACCTACTTTGATGCTCAAATAAACTTCACTAATTGATCGATTTAGTTTTATTCCCCTCCAGTCTGAGAACGTCCAGTTCCTCCAGAATCGGTTCCTCCAGAATCGGTTCCTCCCATCTGAAGGTCTGGACCCACTTTGTTGGGTCCAGACCGCGACGCGGTGGGCTTTTCATGCCGCCGGGGGCAAACGCTGCAGCAGATCGTGTTGCAGCGGTCCTCCTTCACAAAGCTTGCCTTTGTCTGAAGAGACCCTTATCTGTCCCGCAGCATCAACTTACTCCTCCGGCTCCGAGGCGCTCGCATAAAACTCCGACCGCACACAATCAGCGGGAAATGTGCGCAGATGGCGCACAGACAGTAGAACTGGTGGATCACATCCGCACTGAAATATGTGCTGCTTTGGATTTAAATGTAGAGTACGCTGTGTGTGTGGGTGTGATCTCATGCACACATACGGACCGTATTAATAATCACAGAGGTGTAAATAAGAGCTGCGGCTCTGGAGATCATATCCATAAAATATAGGAAGGCATATGGTCACAGAGCAGATCTATTCAGAGGTTCAGCTGCAAGCACACATTTCCATCCGCCCACGCTGCCGCTGCATCATCCCTCAGCAATTAACATCTCTGCTGATTGCTGTGAAAATGCATCACTATGCAGCTTATATTTCAACTTTAACGTAGTTTGATCAGGGCTGCAGCCTACAAAGCCTGGGGAACAAAAGTTCTCTGAAAGTTTCTTCTTCTCATGCATTTTCATGAGAATGTTTTTGTCAAAGGTGATGTAAATCCAGACAGATCAGATATAAATTTTAGAGCAGGATCTATGTAACAAGTTTCCCATCTTAAAGAGACTAGTTCTATAACTGGAAAATATTTTTAAACTTGTTATAACAAAAAAGATTCTCGTAATGAGGTTAGTGTTATATCGCTTCATAACAAAAATTTCTCATTAATAGACGAAAAGCTTCCCATAATAATGAGAAACTCATTTAACGAGTTTGAATCTCGTTATAACGGGAAGCTTTTCATCTTTTAACATAACGTTTCTGTTTATAACTAGTTTTGTATTAGTTATAACAAGAAACTGGTTATAACAAGAAAACCTAGTTAAAGTAGTTAAAATGAGAGTTTCTCATCATTATGAGACAGGTTTTATGTCTTGTTATAACAAATCTCTCATGTTGTAACCAGAAAACCTTCTTGTTATAACAACATTTAAACTGTTAAAATGACTTTTTCATTATAACACGAGACGTTTTATCTTTTAAAAATGAGAAACTTTCTCATTAAAACAAGAAAACCTCATTATTAGATGTGAAACTCGTTAGAATCAAAAAAATTTCTCATAATAAAGAAACTTTTTTGTTAAAGTAAGAAAAGTTTAACAAGTGCTCTTCAAAATAAGAGCAATATTTTAAAATTATTACTAAAAGGAGGCCTAAATTCTGAAACAAATTTTATTATTTGAAAGGATTTTAAATTTCCATTTTTTTTATGAAAAATTCTGAGATTAATCTGAAACTTTCTGTGTTTTTATGCACAATGTTCAAGTTTTGTAGCTCAGAAATTTCCTTGATTCTTCTAGAAAATTTCTGAGTTTCCTGGCAGAAATTTACTCCCTTATTTTTTTTAAATTTACAATACCCATAATACATAATATATATAGAGAGATTGTGTTTGATCTGAGTTTTATAGACAAAACTGCCAAACCTTGCAGTTTAGCATCTCCACCAAATGTT